TCGCCCGAAACATGCAAAACGGCCATCTCAACGATATTTCAATCACCCCAAACTTGTCGTCAACAATATGAATCTGCGGCCTTCATCAGACAATCTTACCTGTATCACTCTGTGCTGAAATCAATGACGTTTTCATTTAGTTATTTTGAACGATGATTGGCCTTCTACAGTACTGCAGTGGATACACTAACTGGCAATTACGGATTAACCAATATCATGCATCTAGTCCTTCATGTCGATGCAAACTGAATCTTATTGGTCAAGTTTGCATCACGGTCACCAAATTAGACGGGTAGAATTTCAAAAAGTGTTAGGTGGTTGAAGAGAGTCGATAGGAATCTTGCAATTTTGATTTCGTGTTCGTCAGTAAGGTGTTTCTAAACCTCAAATGAATGGATGTTCTCATTGAGTTTCTAGTCCACCTCACCCATTGCTGCACTCAGAAACGTCACCACCCAACTATTCAGAATGATGTTTAACTTATTTTAGAAGTGCAGAAAATCCAACAGGACTTCACTTTCCTTTCACCTTGTAGATATACCTTTTTGACAAGTACCAGCAACCAGGAAATGTAGAATAAACTCTTCCTATCACAGTGTACAACTCTCATTATTAAGCATTCTTCTCTACCCTGAGTTAATTAAACTCTTGCCTAGGAAGTGGTAGAGGTGTATAGAACTGAAGTTTATCATAGGATTACTAATAATCATAGTCACACGAAAACACGTTAACCTGTATGAATATACATCTTAACGCTGTGTCTAAAAATGAGTGTGGTGAGAGCTGGCTGTGAACAAGCCAAAATTGTAGACAACAATTTACGTCAATGTTCACGTCCCGAATCAGGGTCATGAGAAAAACAGTAACTAAGCCTAACCGTGAGGAACTCACCAACCAATCACAGCAAACTCAACGTGTGCAAATATGATTCGCAGATATATGGCATGACTTTCTAAGAAACGGTTAAAAGCAGTACAGAATAACCTTCAGCAAAAAAACAACCAATGAGAAGACGTTGCTTCTTTGCTGATAATAACGCTAATAATAATATACAGAAAAATCCATAAATATCTGTTGATTTTCTCAGTAAAAGAGCTTTTGTCTGTCCCGTATCTCCTGTCGTTACAGAAGAAAGGTGAAGGTATAATAGTTCACAGTGTATCTAATGTATTGTAAATTATTTTACGGATACTGTTTCGAAATTGACTGAATGAAATATTAACGACTCAGATATGTGGTGCCTGATGTTACGCTAGTCAACGCTAGACTCTTCAGCAGCACTGACAACAACAATAACTCCCACTGGATCATCAAGAAATCTAAATAACATATTCAAGAGTTTTTTGTAGGATTTCGGTGCATTTCAAGTAAGATCAAAGTTCGATATCAGTTAGAGAGCCATTGAAAACCAGGGAGTACAGGATCGTCAGTTGTTTCATCCTAGTTTGCCACTCACTGGCAGTACGCATCCATCACCGGAGCTGGAACACATAACCTTCTGGTTATAAATCAAGCTCGTAGACAATTCAGTGGTCGGGACCCGACTAAATGGCCAACCCATAAAATCTAACCCCTACCAATTTGTGATTTTTTATAAGTTAATGAAAACTTGAACTAGAAACTAGCAGAAAAAGAATACAGAGCAAAGAACTCTCACAATGCTGCTGGTCAGCTAACCAGAAGAAACATTAAAAAATTCTCTGAGCGAACACATTGAAGTGATAGCACATATCAGACAGTGAAGTGGAACTCGTATTAGAAGCAGAGTGGGTCCAAATGTAGTTTGCAGAAGATGAAAGCCTATGGGTAGTTCTGGAGTCACTTGAGAGTGACTAAACAGAACAGACGACACTGAAGATTAATTAATTAATTTAATTTTTAATTTTAATTTTTGATTACAGCTTGATGCCACACCGTATTTTCAGTACAAGTATGGCATTTTCAGCATGGATATCGGTAGCCTGAAGGACAAGATCCCACGTTTGACCAACTCAATGTGGGTTTATCAATTCACCTGTTCGTGTGGAGACGGGTGTTTGTCGGTGGTTCGACTCGAGTTTTGTCTAAGAGGGTACAACAACACTATCCTACATGGTTGCGAAGAGGTGGAATTGGAGTAATAAGAAGCGTGATCATTAAACATCCGGTCGATAATGACCACTATACCTCTCTAGCCTCAGCCTTTAAAATCATCTACAAGGCTAAAAGTAATTTTCCTAAATCACTACGTACTCGAGTCAGCTGTATTGCTGAAGCTTTGTCTATCGAAACAGAAAAGTCATATCTCAGTATACAGAAAACGTTCGTTCAACTTCTCCCACTTTCAAGGTCTTAATCCCTCTATGTTTAAGTGTGGTAATCCCTAATAATATTTTGGCTCTACCAATTTTTTAAATTTTGTTTATTCAGTTTGTATTCTCTTCCTTTATTACGTCAATTGCTACCACTATTACTTTTCTCACTTTGAACTGTCTTCGGTATAATTTCACTTGTTCCACTTGTCATTGTAAATCAATTCTATTTTGTAATGTTAAATTCTATGCTATCGAATTTCACACAATATTACGTAACGTTTTTTATTCGATTTGCCGACTGGTCCTAAAACTGCACACCCTTTTTCAGGTTCTATACACCCTATTAATTGTACGATATATGACATAAGGAATAATAAAAAGACAGTTGCAGCGAGGAAAATTTTCTTCTTGACAAAGTCATCAACTAGGGTGTACATTCCTGTATTTATAAAAAATGGGAGAAGAAGTTTCATAATAATTTCCGGTTAATAGAATTACAATTAGGAATTAAAATAGCATAATAAACAAAGGAGGGCGCATAAAACCCGAACAAATTAGCATCATTATTATTGCGAAGATGTACATATTGTGCGATTAGGGGTTAGAAATGTAGAAATAACAAAATTAGACGGGATGTTTAGGTAAAAAATCTGGTGTGATCATAACTAATGTTACGAATAATTGGTAATGCAGTCAGGGATTAAATATGTAGAAATAATAAAATGGCAAAATAGACAGGAAGTTTGGATATGAAAATATGGTAGTATAAATAGGGATTAAGAAAAACGTAAAAATAACATGAATAAACATGAAGTTTGGCTAAGAAAGTGAATGGGATGGTCACTATTAGAAGAATTACCTGTTCATGATGGCCATGGCAGCGACAAGGATTGAACGTATTTCTTTTGGATACATATCGTGGGTCTGAGCTTTTGGATAGTTAGTGCCTCAGCCATGCCCAGGTGTCTTAATTTCACTCCCTTTGATAGGTCTGATCGAATCTTGTATATTATTTTGAAGGATTTTTCAAATGGCGCTGAATGTCCTGAATTGACCAGTTGTTCTGCCACTGAACTAGCCAGTTTGGATAGTGTTCATGAGCGCGTATTTCAAGTTGGCACATGGTACAGCCAATGTACTCAGCTCCGCACGAGCAATTAAACTGATATATCCACAATGAGGTGGTCCAGTGCGACAGCTTGTCTTTCGCGTTCTGGCTTAACAGTTTCTTGCAGTCGTAGGCTAGTGGCGAAGTATGTTTTCGTCGTAGATTTACAATGGCGTTTACGAAGGATTTCTGCATCTTTTTCGGGATGGACTGGACATTAATTGTTTTCGATATAGCGAAAATATTCATTCAGACATCTATAAAACACAAAATAATTGAGCGGAGAATATCCTTTTCGATGATTTCCTCCTCTTCTGGCTTTACAATTATTAATATATGTTTATATACATAGAATATTCTAGATTAGTAGTCAATAACAATATTAGTGTTTTTTAGATAATATCGATTTGTTAAGTAAGATCAATGGAATTACCACAGTTCATTAAAGACGCTTAAATTATAATAATAATAAAGATATAGTAGCAAATGGAATATCAACTAAAATTAGGAAAATTCCACAAAAATTGAGGATCATTCAAACCTAGATGGTCAAGTGGTAAGGATAATGTCTGAACTAACTTCTTTTGGATGCACAAATTAGGCTTGTTTATATGGATGCTAACAGCCTCAGCAATATATAGTAGTCGAACTCTTAAGGCGAAATTGAGATTTGTTGGTATGCGGCAAATGATTCTGAAAGCATGGTTAACATCAATCTTGTGTTCTGTCTACACACGATGAGACAGAATAGCACTGCGAATAGATTTGGTTTCTCCTTTACTTAACCACTAAGGGAAACACGCCAAGTTGTACGGCCTATGTAACTGGCTCCACAGGAGCAGTTAAATTGGTATATACACATGGAAGAGGCGAAACTGGGCATTTTGTCTTTCACTCCCGAACTCAAAAGAGGAGTGGTTTTGAAGACACAGCGTAATTCGGCAGTAGGGAATGTTCTTTTTACCGCATTTCTAAGGCGATGTGTTAGTATCTCGCTGATGCTGTCCCCAAGGAACTGTATTTCTAAGAATGTGATCTTTTTAGGAACTGTTGGTACCTTGAGCTGCTTTGATTTTACATTCATATTCTTCTCAATGAATTTTTCTGGATAACCATTTTCACTCAGCAACCGTTTAGTATTATTAAGTTTCTCATCAAGACATTCATCCAAGCAGATGAAAAAGTGAGTATACTGACCCGTTGATGTAGGTTTTCTATTGACATTTAATGACTATGATTAAAGTCACAATCATTTTAATTCTAAATGCACATAATTGTGCTATTATTATTTTATGCATTCACACCTATGATTCAATCCACTCACCGGATATAATTTCTTAAAAAGGCCATATGTGTATGTACGATTGTACACCTTGAAAAGAGTCTCTTCGCTGAATCATAGAAAATCAAAGCAAGTGATTTTCTATAATCTGTTTTTAAGCCAATCACGAAAGAGATTACATTTTGTCTCTTAACAACCACCAATCATATCGCTGGGAATTTCTGCTTCTCTGATTGGTTAATATAAAATCACATATATATGTACGTATTATCCTAGACACTAATATTCCTACATGGTTTTTAATATTATGCGTGTAGTTACTTTTCCGTAGAAATGATTATTTGAGATGTTTATAATATTCGATTGATTTTCATAAAACAAAAATGGATACATTGAATTCAACATTGAATCACACCGTAAACAAGAATAATGATAACGAATTAGATCCATTTTGGATTAGTACATTAATTCTCCTCGGCTGTGTTTCAATTCTAGGCACCATCGGTAATTCACTTGTCCTAGGCGTGTTTATTCAACATCATTTTTGGCCACATTTACACTTGAAATATCGGCAGATCTATTTAAATCAACAGTTGAATCTAGCAACAAATAACAGCACTGTCAGATCATCTTCGTATTCTCAAAACAGCAATAGTAATATTAATAATAATAATAACAGTAATGGTAATTATGACAATTATATGCTACGTATCCATGAGTCGAATGAACAACTCTTCAACAAAACAACCGGTACACCAACATTTTTCATCCTTGTTCTCGCTTGTATTGATCTGTTAGTCTGTTGTTTTGTTGTCCCGCTAACATTCTACATGGAATACGTTCATTTACAACCGTCTACAGATTTATGTTGTAAAGCGCATGCTTTTTTAAATATATGTAATATAATGTTTAGTTCATTATTGATTATTGCTATCGCACTGGAAAGATACCTGACTATTTGTCATCCATTGCGACGTATTCTAACAATGAAACGTGCAAAATACTTAACGCTTAGTTTAGCCATATTTTGTATCCTATACGGGATTCTCGGTGCTGTACATCACAGTCTGGGGGAAACAGTGGATCAACCAGGTGTGAAACAATGTTTGGATACACCGGAATTACCAAATGTCACTTATACACAAATCTTGATGTTTGATATTTTACAAAAAGGGAATACAGCTAGCTTTATTTTGTCTATTCTCTTTGTCATTATCTTGTATTCGCTGATTCTACGTGTAGTGATTAAAACACATCGGATTAATCGGCATTCTTATTCATCAAATCCCAGTGTATACACCATGAATATGCTGTCAGAGGTGAATCAAGCGTCTACAGGTTTTTCAGCTGATGGAAACAGCAATATTACAACAACAACAATAACCAATAATAATAATAATGATAAACATCTAATTCCTCATCGTAAAAGCATAGCAAATAAACTTAGGGCACATTTATCCTTTAAAGGGATAACAGAGAGTACACTATGGCGAGAACTCCGGTCAGCTAGTGTACTGTTTGTTGTCGCTGTTGTTTATATTATCGTATTCACACCAGCTTTACTAACAGCTAACAAGCTGGTTAATTTCAATCTGCTAGCCTATAATACCTACTACTTAAATAATATGTCAAATCCTGTAATTTATTGTTTTATGAGTCATGCATTTCGAAAAAAATTAAAAATACTACTATTTAATGGGATGATCTCGTTTAAAAGTTATCGATCGAAACGTGATATTTTTGTTCCACATCATAGCCATCATCCTAATCATCATGGTCATCCTCAGCACCAGCAGAATTCCAGGCATCCATCAAGACGGAAACAACAACATTTTCGTGCAAGACAAATGAATGCTCAACATTCAAATAATAATGGTAATAATAATAGTAACAGTAATAGTAATAGTAATGGTAATATAATAAATAATAATACAATTCGATGACATACAGTATTGCTGATCGACTATGTTGATGAATCTTAAATGTCCAATTGTTTTTATGATAAATGACACAGTAAATATGTTGACAATTGAAAATTGGAGAGAAATAAACAAAAACAAGGAAACATTATGACAGTTGAGTAAGAAAATTCGAAAAAATACTTACAAAAATTTATTTATGTATTTATTTATACATAAATACGTAAAATTATTTTGGTTATTTATGTACATATAATACATCTCTGTATATATTTGTCATTCAAAAACACACATAACCGAAATGAACGTTGAACGGTTTTTCTAAATGAACATTGAAAACTTTTTATTGGACATTTTGTATTTCAGAATGAAATGGTATGTTCACATATTACAATTATTTTCATTCAAATGTCAATATATTTCAATTGTTATTTTAATTATTATTATTGTTTCCTTTAATTCCTCGAGGAACGTAGGGCTTCAGCCTCACACTTTTGCCTAGATCCACGTCTGCCCATATCCCTTCATCTCCTCTTCACATGACCTCCTCTATGCCACCCTCACACTGACTACCAACTAACTTTCCTCTTCCTGTCCGCCTCCACTTGAGCAACTACCTGGCGTATGATGCCACTTGATGGTTTTCTCAGAGTATGGCCAATCCACCTCCACTTCTTCTTGCTTATTTGTTGCACTATCGGTTACTGATGGGTTAGTTCGTTCATTGTCAGAGATCTCCCCTGTTGCTGATCTGTTCTGACCAACAATTCGATCTTGGGCGAAGACAGCTATTGATGAAGGTTCGTAGTTCGTTCGAAATGCCCGCGATTCTGATCCGTATAGTAGCCGATAATTTTCGCTTTGATGTCCTCGTCAGCTTCGGCCATCTGTAGTTGAAACGATTCTTCTCAGGTAGGTCGATAGGTGAAGGAGGTTGCTTCTCTCGGATTCCTCCCATTTATGCCGAATGATTGTTGTCTGTTGTTGTTGTTGCTGGTGTCCAGGAATCTTCATCACCTCTGTCTTCTCTATGTCCACCTGAAGTCCTATCTTCCTTGGATGCTTCTTCTGCCAACTTGCTGCTTTTCATTTGCATATCTTCCAGTTTGTGGGAAATCAGATATATATCATCATGGGCAAAATCCAGATACTCCAAATTTTTTGTGTGGGCCCATTTTATGCCTGTTTCCTAGTCGTCCACCCCGCTGTCTCTCGCATTATCCAGTCTACCGAAATCAGAAAAATCATTGGAGATAGTAGCCAGCCAGCCAGCCTTGTCTTACTTCCATCTTCAATTCATCGAAGGATTCCGTGAGTTTCTCGTTGTAGATTACTTGGCAGGCAGCATTTTCGTACAGCTGTTGGATGAGATGTATAATTGTGGGCGGCACCCGTTAGTAGCGAAGTAGTTGCCAATGCACCTCTTTATCGACGCTGCGCTGTCTAAGTTCTTTTCAAAGTCAAGAACAACTGGTATTATTTATAGTATGTATATGTAAAATTCTTTGAGTGTTATTGGTGATTCTAGTTAGTACTGGGATAATATGCTTAAAGAAGGATATTCAGTGTGATGAAAGAAAAAGCCACATTGTATTTTACAGTTTAATTAATGTTCTATGGATGATTGATCTAGAGTTTTTTCCCTTTGCCATTTGAAATCATCTATCCCGAATGACGTAATTAGTAGAAAGATAACAAACCTAATCATATACCACACTTGAAATGAAGTAAACATTTTGCATCCCACTTTGGTTCATTATTGTCTGAGTTATTGTGAGATGTCACCCTGATATATCATGCGAATGAGTGATATTCTTTTGCTGGTTCGAAAACCAACTGTCCAAGAATATCTCTTAGCTTTGAGACACATGAAGCATATGCTTGTGAATACAAGCGGCGGTTCTCATATCGAAATAAAAAAAGTATCGTTTTTCAAACGCACTTAAAGGATCTTTCTACTTGAATAGTATTCGGTTTATAACTTGTTGCAACGTCTTATTTAACGTTCCTTTGATTTCTGTCTGGAAGGTGGGTTTCTCGAGTTTTATGTCTTTAGCTGTGATGATGCTGACTTTACTGGTTGGGCTTGCCAGCCTCACAACTAGTCTTCCTATTATTTTGAGAAGAATACCAGCTATCTAGTCTCATTATCCTAAAGAGATTATGAAGTGCACTGGATACAGAACCTCATCCCGTGGAACAACCTGGATTCTAGAAAAGAAAATCATTCATGGATCAAACAATAACTCCACGCATCATCATTGAACAGAGAATAGAATGACAGTCAAACCTCTGTCTCATCTTCATCAAATCTGAGAAATGATTTTAACACTGTGCAGTGCAGTGCATGAAACCTTTATCAGCCTCATTCAGCAACTATATGGAAATAAAACACGTCAAGTGATTCACAAAAGAAGACTCAGTGAGGCGTTTGAAGTGACCGCAGGAGTAAGACAAGGCTGCCTGCCTGTTATTTTCAGTGATATTGCCGATTGTAAGGGACTGATTTGTGTAACAAAAGACTGTCTAGAGCAGTCAGACTCTAGAAGATCTGGATTTCGCAGACGATCTATGTTTAAGGTTATACAGAATCGAAAACCCACAGGCGAAAACCAACACACTAGCTGAAGAAGCAGAGAAGATGGAACTGCATGTGAAAATAGAGAAGACAGATGTGGTGGAAATGTCCACGCACCAAAAACAACAACCAGCATCAGTCAGCATCAACGGGAGAGATTTGACAGAGGTTACTTCCCTCACTTATCTAGGAAGCATCATCTCACACACAGGCCGGAGGGATGAAGATATCATAGCGAAAATCTGAAATCAGTTTGGAAATCTTCTGCACTCCGCAGAAGAAAATTCGGATTTTCAACGCCAGTGTGAGTTCACTGAGTTCACCTAAAACCTTTCTAACGGGAAACCGAAGACATTTATCAGCAACTATCTTTTCTGGCGCCACACCTATGGCCGCATAACCAGAATGGATTAGCAACAAGCATCTCTAGGAACAAACGAATCAAGAACCTGTGCTGCATAAAAATAGCAAAGAAAGTGAGGATGGATTAGATGCATCCTAAGGAGAGTATTGATTGAAATTGCTACACAGGCCATTTCCAGAGTGGAACCCAATCGGGAAAGCATAAGTTGGGTGTCTTTGTTTAACCTGAAAGAGATCTTTTGAGGAAGAGATGACGGCATATGGGCAGTCATGGCTTCAGCAAAATAAGACAAAATAGAATGTTCTGTTGAAGGTCTTTATTCCATTCGGAACCCAAGGGAATAATAATAAGACTTACTAGGAGCTAGATGCGTCGGTGGCACAGCGGTAGAATGCTCGCCAACCGCGCCATACGTGCTTCGGGGTTTGATCCCCGGCCACAGAGGCACTCCCAAACCTCACTAAGTCAATATTAAGACTCCTGAAGAGGGAAGGTTGAGCATGGGGCTAGCCACTGCATTCCGTAAACATAAACACCATTGCTATCGAAACTTCAAGCCCCTACCTCGAAACCCGCCATGTTCCACTGGAAACGTAAAGGAATAAAAAAGAACCAGCAAATAAAGTAGGGAAGATTCAGCAGTGCATGCCAACCCTTGAATCAAAGCTGAACACATATCATATTCTGCTTGGGTAGTCTAATTTTGAAATCAACAGAGATTTATTTTCGAATAAAAAACATTTTTTGTTCTTTATTTTCCTTTCTTTTTAACAATAATAAATCCAGCAGTTTGCCTTCATCCAAACTTGTCTAGTGATGTAGTTAGCCGATTCGGAGGTGGCATACAAGCAAACAAACATCTGTTAACCGATAAGAAACACTCGATCACTGTTAGAACAAATTTCATCTGATGTGATGAATCATTGTGGATTAAAACTTCGCGATCACATTTTATAAAAAAAGGGAAAATTCAGTGAATAAATCCTCAGATTAAATGATTGATTAACCAAAAATTTTTCTCCATAAGAGAATTATTTCATCTGATGTAATACACACGCATGCACACACATACACCCACAATGAGTGAGTGATACAGTGTCACTGTGGTAGTAAGTAATTGCATAATAGTGAAACAGTATTATTTACTGGATGTTACGTTTCGAACAAAATTTATTGTTCATAATCATATCAATTGTAATCACACGACTTTGACACTTGAGTTTTATAGTTTTCTTTGTTCTCTCCTATTTGTCGTTCGGGTAGTAGAATTTTCCAGATATCGGGGACAGGTGATGAATCATTCCTATTACATGTATTTGCAGTTGACTCGATAAACAAAGCTTCTGTTATCAATCTCTCCCCATACTCTGTGACATTACATTTTAAAACTGTCATCCTATCCCATCCTATTGTATGGTTGTGTGTAACTGCATGTAGTGCTATAGCTGAACGATTCTCCAGATTTCTTATCTTATTCGGGTCAACCAATCTAGATTTTGCTAAGTTTTTATGTTCAGCTAGTCTGACTGCCCCTGTTCTACTAGTTTGACCTATGTATTTGACCTGACAATCATTGCAGGGTATTAGATAAACTAAATTGCTTTATTTTAAGGGCTCTACCGGATCCTTTAACCGACAAAGCTTGTTTCTAATTGAGTTTGTGGGTTTGAATGCCAGCCACTTTTATTCCCGCCTTGTTAAGAATTCTGCGTAAGGCTTCTGAGGTTCCTTCCTTGTATGGAATTACTACTGATGATTCCTTATTATTGGTGTCGTCATTAATACTATTATTATTATCATTATTATTGTTATCTGGAAAATTCTACTACTCATATGATAAATAGGAGAGAACAAAGAAAACTATAAAACTCAAGTGTCAAAGTCGTGTGATCACAACTGATATGATTATGAACATTAAATTTTGTTCGAAACGTTATCCAGTAAATACTGATACTGTTTCACTGTGTGATATATCTAATAAACAAACTAATATGGGATAATTTATTTACTGACGGTATTCAAAGTAAGAGAACAAGAAGTTCGGCAAAGGTATCGATCTTTTCGGCGATTTTATTCGCAAAA